GAAATAAAGATGCAGTGTGACTATCTACATCTTCCTATCCCCATGCTACTAGTGCTACTGAATAGACCAGGATGCTACATAAGAGCAATGAGAGAAGGAGGTGTAGGGAGATGTTTCCTTTCTGAGAGCAACTGTGCCTTAGGGGAAGGATGCAGAGTATTGAGATTTATATGGGCTTTACTCAGCTGATAATGCCTGGTATCCAAAGCACCTGACAGGTTCTTAAGAATCATTGTGGAAATGTGATCTTTAAAAGAAGTTATGTCATTACAAAGTCATGTAATTAATGAGGTTCTTATACCATGCAGACTCAGAATGGGCAGGACAAAGAAGTGGAAAGAATAAGTTAGTCGGGTGTGTTACAGAAATATCACAACAGTAGTAGGACAAGGTCTCATGATGCTATGAATAACATGATTTAATATAATAAGTAGAGGAAACAGAGACAGAAAGCAAGACTTGTCAGGGTCATAGCTAACTGTAGAATCAGAAGCAAAACTGAGTCTATTACTAGTTCACTTCTCTGAGAGAGGCTTGTGAAAAACCACACCAAAGTTTCAAAGCTCGTGGGTAGGCTGTTCCTCTAAGGGTGATGCTAGGGGATTATTACTTTGCAGCTTCACTGACACATAGTTTTACACTGAAATGCAGGCAAGTTTTTTGTTCTGCAAGATCTCAGTTCTGAGAAAGAAGATAAAACACCTCCTTTTCCTGTCTCCTATTTTTAATCAAGGTAATGAGATGGCAATATAACTTACACTTGCAGGATGTGCTAGATAAAGTGACTACCTATGTTAGCGGTCGCAATTGCGAATAGAACTTATCTACACACAGCAGATAAGCAGGCACTTCTTTATTCCAGCGCCGGGGAACACGGGGGGATAACTCCACCAAAGACGTGTTCGTCGATAGGTACAAAGCACAACATATTTATACACTTTTTCAGCAGAGTCATTGTTACATAAGATCAATAATTCCATAACGTTTAAGCTGACCTTTATAATGATTGGCTTTTAGTTACCTCTCCCTACCTATATTCCTATTCTGCAGAAATCATTGGTCATCCTCACTAATTGATTTAAATAGAATGGGGGGAGGGCAATGATTAGCATATTCATGTTGTTTCTTGGAAATTATTATCATATGCAAATGTCTCCGACGCATGCGTGGTTATACTGGATGGGGGTCTCTGGTGGTCGTTGATAGTCTTCATCACTGTGTCCGCTTGATTGAACTCCATCCTTGAGCATGCTCATTCCACCTTTGGTTAATGTTCACCTCTCCCTTGCCCAATCTTTCCAACCAAACCAGTTTTCCTCAGGTACCTATTGTTTCAAGTCAAGATCCATAACCAGTACCCATTGCGTTAATTCAGAGCCCATGACGATTCTTATAATGTTCAAAGCACACAGCATACTAGTTGCTTAATCCTAAGGGCCTTAGTGTACTTTATATTTTCAGAGCTACTGTAGCTTCATGTTAAATCAAAATCATACTTTTAAACTAAAATCAAAATAATATTCTAGGATTCCAACTGTTTCATTAAGGTAACTACAACACCTAGTGACCTATTTACCTACCTAAAAGCTCAGTTTTAAATAGGAAATGCTAGATTCATGTCACATCGAATTTTGCTTTAAAAGCTTAGGTGGGGAACCACATTATAGTTAAACATGTTTCAAGTTAAAATATTTATCAAAGATTAAAATGCTTAGCTAATGTGTACATTACATGCATTAATATGGGACAAAGTAATCAGCTAACATTTACGGTGAGTTTAATAAAAATGTCCTACAGACACATGCCCTTGCTTAAGTGATGAGTGTATTTTTTTTGTATAGATATACCAAGTCCTATTTTTTTTCTGCAGACTGTCTGTTATAAATACAGAAATGGCTTCAAAGAAAAATATGTTAATAAATTAATAAACAAGTTTTGGTTCTAGTGGTGGTGGTGGTGGTAAAACACAGGGCCCCTCATAAGCTGAATAAGGGGGGCAGTAAAACACAGCTGAATTTATAGTGCAACGTGTTGAGAGGAACGCTCACTATCAGGCATGGCTCAGTGACCACTCTCATTCAACATGGTGCCACTATGCTTCCACCAAAACAGGGGGACTTGCTCTCCTCTCTTTTCCCTTAGCTACTTATTCCCAATATCTCACCCGTGGGTGCACAAGCACTCGTGCAAGATCTGATTTGGCAAAAATTGGCTTGATTTGTATGTCTGATCAGCTTATTCTACAATGGTTACACAGAGTTACTGTGTGTAACTGTGGCATTGATTACAAGTGCTAAATCACTTATGAAACCCACTTAAAGTCCACATATATATTTACATTATTCTGTATTTAGATGAGAGCTTTTTTGACTGGACCCTTCAGTTTTGCAGGTGGGGACTAAATGATTCACTTGGTAAGTCTTCACACTCACTTCACAAAACTGTAACTCACAGAGCCTTAAATGTCCTCTCTGCCCCAGGCTGACTGAAAAACCCCACAAGTCCACTGGTGCTGCATCAGAGAGCAAGTACCATAAAGCAAGCACAGGTACAGCTTAGCCCAGCGGTGCTAAATGCCACAGTAGGAAAAATGCCAGCTGTCACATGAGGAAAGTGATCCATCTCTCCAGCTGGTGCAGCCCAACAGCAAGGAAACATCAGCAACGGAGATGCAGCAGTAAAGATAAGGCTGGGTGATCATATACAGCCTCAGTTTCACCAAATGGCAGAAAATGCAATGAAAGTGAAGTGTATGGTACTCAGCGGATTTAAAAAAATTTTTTTGTTTGTTTGAATCTGAGCTCTGTATGTTGGTCATGACAGCAGGAGAGTTACTGTTCAGTCCTTTCATGTAAATTGGATGTATGAATCTGTTCAACCAGAGAATTAATGAGTGCAGCAGAAGGTCTTTTCTTTCCCCATTACTTACTGCTCATTGCTCCAGTAGTATGTGTTGTCCAAAGAAGAACATGAGTAATATAAATATGTAAACCTGTAAAGAATAAGAAATCCACCTACTACAGAAAGCCATAATTAAAAGAAAAGCTAACCAAGAGTAATAAAATAAAAATATCACAGGCAAGTAGTGAAAAGCCTGAGAGCCTCAGTGGAAACCTTTACAGAGGTAATCAATGTAAATAATCTTGATCCAAGAAAATCAGGTGTAAGCATTTTGTAAGAGTAATATGAAGTCTCATGAATATGTCAGAAGAATCAAGAAAAATGCAGTAATTATATTCTGATAAAACCCTGCCCCAATTGTTTCTGCATTCTACCACGGTCTGTGAAATGTGTAAGCTCTTTTTTTTTCTTTTTTTTAAGAGCAATGTCATCCAACTGATATGCACAGTAATGTTGAACCCATTTGCTGTTTTTGCAATGGAAGGCAAAATTAACATCAGTGTTTCACGTTCTTGGCATTTTACTAGGCCACCCTTATGAACTTGAATACAGCTCTCTATAGCTCTGGCATCCTGAGGCTGGCTTCATCGCAATACATCCGTATTAGAGCTACAAGGGAAATCCAGCAGCTGAAAACACAGCAGCATGTGTATGGTGGGCTGTTTCTGGAGGCAGTCATACCTGTGCCCCCATCTTCTGAATCTGGTACATACCCAGACCTCCTGGCTTTGGTCTCCAATTCCATGATGCTCCTGATGGGAGGATATGTGACAGCAGGCTGCAGCTGGCAACAGTTTGAATTTTAACCTGCTTGGACAAGGTGGTTCTCGTTACTTCAGAGGCCATCATGGTACTGGGCTCAGCTGGAACACGCTTACTGGGAGCCCTTGATTGAAATAGCTGTGCGAGAACCAGTTTAATGACCATCTTTGGCTCTAGACCTTTAGATGTACTTAAATATGTTGCTGCTTGTGCCATCTTTGTGACTGTGATAAATAACAGAAGAATTTTGCTTTCGCTAAAAGTAATTAAACAATTACTTTTATTGAGTTAGGCTAAACCTGTGTTGTTAAAATTATAACAGTTAAACAAGTCTTTTTGGATCACAAGTTAGGCATATAGTTGGGCAAGCAAAAGGATGGGGGGGGGGTGGTCTGTGGTTAGGTATCATGTAAAGAGGAATGGAAGCCAAGCAGAAAAAGAGTAAGCAAACTCCTGATGAAGGGGAACCTGGACTTCCCCCCCCCCCCAAGAGGACCACCAAGACCAGCTGTAAATACCAGAGAAGAAGAGGGGGGGAGAAGGAGAGCGAGTGGACTTGTTGCTTGGCCTAGCTGTGTTACACTGTTCTTTGATTTTATGTTTAAACCCAAGGTTACATACAACATTGCATTTGCCTCCCCTGCTCAGCAGCTGTTTTGTGATAAGCTGTAGTGAAGCAGTGGAAAAGTGGAGGGAGAGACAGCCCTGAAGAAACCAAGAAGTAACTGTGCAGGTACAAAAAAGGAGGACTGGAACTATAAACAAGAGGCCCCAGCTGGGCCAGGGCGCACCATTGCGCCCAGCGCTGTGTTCTTTGCTGCACTGACTTTGTCCCCAATAAAACCTTTTTTTTTATATACACATGGGCTTGTTTCTCACAGTGACAATCCTTCCTCGGGTGCTCGTCAAGCCGAGGAGGGCAAGGGGGAACTGTGCGGCAGGCTGTGGGGTATGCTCGCTCCCAGGTGGTTTGCCGTTCGTTTTCACGACTCGTGAGGGACCGGGGGGGCCGCCGGAGCTGATCACAGGCCCCGGGCCGTTATTTGGGCTGGCAGGGGAGAACCTCAGCTGAGGGCACCCGTGAGATTTGTCTTTTAACAACTGGGGCTTTCGCAATGCGGAGTTAGTGTAAACCGCTGTGATCTCATACATCTCGTGCCCTCCCCAGAACAAATGCGGATTAAGATGGCTTTTAAAAGGCAGTTATTATGGGGGTGGGGAACAAAACAAACCACCTACAAACGCGACGGTTTTCCAGCAATTTTGGCGCCTCTCGCGGCCCGTAAGGGAGTCCTGCGCGCTGCCCTCACCCCGCCGCGCATGCGCAGGAGGGGCGGGCGGCGGATGCGGTGGCCGGGGGGGGCGGATGGCGGCCGCGCTGCGCCATGTTGCGGTGGCTGGTGGCGGTGCTCAGTCACTCCTGTTTTATCTCCAAGGGCGACAGCATGTTCTACGCGGTGCGCAGGGGCCGGCGGGCGGGTGTCTACCGCACTTGGTAAGGACCGCGGGCCGGGGCAGCGCGGCTGGGCCGGCCCTTCCTCAGCCTGACCGCCGCCTGTGTTGCAGGGCGGAGTGTCAGGAGCAGGTGAACAAGTTCCCCTCCGCCAGCTTCAAGAAGTTCGCCACTGAGAAGGACGCCTGGGCCTTCGTACGCGCCGGCCTGCCGGGGCGGGAGCGGCTCCCGGAGCCGACAGGTAGCTCGTCCTCCCGCCCCTTCGCCCCTCGGGGTAGCGGCGGCGGGGGGGGGGCAGGCACACCGGCACAGCCCAGCGTCTGTGTAAACGGTTCGGCTTCGGGCTGAACGCGTGCAGCAGCTTCTGTTCACCCTCCGGTGGACGCCTGGTAGCTGGCGGGACGGCGTGGGGCGGGTGGGGCGGCGCAGCCCACATATTTCTGTGGATGCCGGGAGAAAGCTGCTTGCCCCGTGTCCGTCTGGAGGGCAGTTACAGTTACACGGTGTGTCTCCCCTTCGGTTTGATCTATGATCGAGAATGACTGGTGTATACTATGCAGGTTTTTTTTTTTTGCCGAATAGCTTGGGGTGGTGTCAGTTTGTTGCTAGTAGGTGATAACAACTGTTGTCTTTCAGAAGCAGTCGTTTCAAATAAAATTTGATCTTGTATACTGTTGAACTTTTTCCCTTTAGAAGGGGCGCCCAGTTTTCCAGCTGTAACACAGGAAAGCAGTAGCCAGAGAGAGGAAGCAGAAATAAACATAGTGTGTTGCAATACATGCAAAAGACCGTATGAACAGTCCACAGATGAAGAACACGTTGCAAAGCGGGTAAAACATGAAGAATTATATTCTGCACCGACAGTCAGTGAAGATAAATTTTCATATATGGGTGAGGTCTTTTAATATTTCTGTAATTCTTTTCAGTTTTGTGCACTATTTCATAAGTAACTAGTGTAATTATTAGGAAGCTTTTAAGGAGGTTTGTGTATGGCGGCATCAGGCCCAGTGTAGCATTGTTTCTTTTTAAAATGGAAAGGTGAGCCATTATATATTTGTTCACGTTGTCTTTTGGTGTAATTTTAATTGCCTTTAACTGTTACCAATATATGACTTAGTCTGATCATTATAGGTGTGATTTTATGAGTGTCTGGATTACAGACTATAAATGTAGAGATGTAGCTGGGAAGTTTTTCAAGTTGACTGAAGAAGACAGGAACTGCAGTGAGAATATGGAATTTGGGGCAGAGGTGCTTCTTGAGTCTGTGAAGCTGCAGTGGGACTTCTGGTGTTCTGCGTTACTGATTTACATGGCTTCTGTAGTTAAGTTTTTGAAGGGCCCTCTGGGGAGGGAGGTTTTGGGGATTAATCTGCTGGCAGACATTTCTTATTGCCTGGGGAGTTTACGTGCTTCAAGGAGTCTCAAACTTCAACTTTTGGTAATTCTTTTGTAGGTGACTTTGCAGTCGTTTATACAGATGGTTGTTGCTCAGGTAATGGACGTAATAGGGCACGTGCTGGAATAGGTGTCTACTGGGGACCAGGCCACCCTTTGTAAGTAGCTAGGTGGATTTTTTTTTTTTTCCCTTCTGTTAATATATTATTGGGTTTTTTATGTGTGATTTACAATACCAGACTCCTTTTGGATACGAAATGCTGCTGTTGAGACTCACGACAGTGCTATGAGACTAGTGAGTTACTGACAGGAAAAGAAAAGTAGGCTTCTCGGGGAGGTAATAATGTGGGGAAAATCAACTGGAAATAATATTTTGGGGGGCTGATGCTATAATTCAAGTGATTCAAAGTTTTTTTTTTAAATAGGTGTAGGTGTACACTGAAGACAACAAATGTAAATGCATATTGATGGCAGGTCCAAATATGCAGGTTGCACTATGCAGATGGAAGTTAGAGCTAGAATATCTGTTTATTCTCCTTTGTAAAAAGTAGTGCTCTCGTATTTATTTTTCTAATTTGTAGTCATTATACACCTTTCTGACTCTTTGGGGTAACTAATCTACTATTAATTCATTGGACACAGAAATACCAGTGAAAGACTTCCTGGACGGCAGACCAATCAAAGAGCAGAAATACATGTAAGTAGTAAATACCTTAAAAAGCTTCTTCCTTTTTTAACTGCAGTAACACACTCATTTGACTATTTGAACACTGGCCTTCAGAAACCAGTTATGGAGCTGTGAGGGAAGTACATAAAATATCAAAAGGTATGAATAGAAACAAATCATTATCTTCAAGTTTTATTGATCTTTATTGGTTTTGAACAAGGTAGTTCACCTTGAGAATTCCCAGATGTCACCAGGCGAAGCACAGCTATTTAAACCAGCCTTGCATTAGGAAAACGTGATTTACAAATCTGTATAGTATCTTTTGCGTTTTTAATGTGTATACCTCAGAGCTTGGGGTGAGGGCTGCTGAGTACCAGTTAAAGAGAATCATCTTCTTACTATGATAGGATCAGAATGTCGTGTTCCTTAGATAAATGTAACAATCTATTCTAGGCCCTCGGGAGTAAATTTTATTACTTCTGAAGTAAACTTCTGTTGGCAACAGCAGATTTAATCTTTCCTTCTCACCTCATCTTAATTTTGGTACTGCTGCTGTCCTGAACTGTGTGTTTGGAGATAGAGTGAAATGGGGAATAGATCTGCTTAAAAACTACAGGAAGTTCATTTTAGTAAGGGACAAGCAGAAATGATGGTGGTGTGCCAGGTGTCAGACTTATCACTAAAGAACTTTTCAGTTCTACATCCAGACCTAGCCACTTCTCCTTTTTATTATATTTCATAGCACCAAAAAAACCCTACAGAAAAAAAAAATGCCTTTTAGGGGTTCTAGATTGTTGGAACTGGTATGAATCCTTCCTCCTCAAAGTTACGGAGAAAATGCCTAAAACTTGGTGTGCAGTTGCTAGGTAGTTTTTTATAGTTAGAAAATTGGGCAGAGAGCTCACTCTCTACTCCTTCAGTAGAGTTGAACATCAGAATGTTTTGGGTTTTTTTTGCCAATGAAACTTCAGTGGCTCCCTGTTTACTTGATTTATTAAGTGGCCATCTGCATGCATAATTTTAGGAACCTTTGCTTGAAAGTATGTTGATGCTCTTTGGAGAGATTACAGAAGTATTCTTCGTAGCTCCATTTTAGCATCAGGTACTTTGCTGGTATTTTAATTGCATGTATTCAAAATCCTGTTCTGAACTGTGATTTTATTGAAACGTTCTTAAGGCAGCCTGCAAAGCAATAGAGCAAGCAAAGAGTCAAAACATCAAGAAACTAATTATCTACACCGATAGCAAGTTCACTATTAATGGTAAGTTGATGATTATAGTTTTCCTGATTCTTGAAGACGTGCTGCGTGCTGTTTTATTACATAAGGCCCGCAGAATATACTGAGTCTTGGGGAGAGGGCTATAAAAAAGAGAATGCATAACTTACTGAAATACTCATGACTGCTTGTGGAAAATCTTCAGAATATTAGAGGGATCACCTGCTAACTACATGAAATACAAATAGAAACAAAGTGCCTGTTACAGTAAAGGCTGACAAGTAACTACCGGATTTTTGTCTCAAGGCTTTCAGTATGACACAAAGTCTAGAAAAAAGTCTTGTTCATGTATACTCTGTTAAGGATATACTCAGGAAAGTACTTAGAAATTGCTATAGTAATCCTGTGGGTGTTCTGTTTTGTTTTGCTTCGATTGGAGAGGTTGTCGTAATACCTGTGAAGTACATTCAAGTTTCCTTGCTTTTTACATGTACATTCTACTTCAGGCTTTCAGGCTACACTAGAAGACTAGCCAGAGATGGTATGTGCTCAGAGTATGCATTTAAAGTTTCACCTTCATCCAGAGCTTTGGAAAATTTAATGTTATTCCCTCTAAATACCATGTGAAGCAGCCAATAAGACTTAGTCTCTGAATAAAACTTCTTCCTCTTTCCTTGAGATCTTCCTATTTTACTCCCATGATAATTTGGAACTGCATAAGTATTTTTTCTTTGTATTTCACATTTTCCCAAAGGGAGCACATGTGTTTGCTGTTTCCAAATCACTTTGGAGTTGGTTTTGTGGGTTGGTTTGTTCTTTTTCTTTTAAATAACATTACAAAAACATTGCAACTTTTGATTGAAAATTAGATGTTGCACTTTTCCACTTTTTTTTGTTGTGTGTGTAGGAATTTGAGTGTCTTGTTCTTAGCATAAATTCCTATACTTGAGCACCAACACTGGAAGTAATTATCTGTTTTATTCATTGTTATTAATAAAGCAAATAAATGGTTTGTATGATAAAAATCCATATATATTCTCCTTCAAATAAGCCATTCTGCTTTCCAGAACTCCCCTGATTTCTGAAAGTGGAGTATGAAAGAAGAGTATCAGGTTTTTTCAGGTGGCTTATATTTAGAAGTAGAGCAAAACTTACCTTGAAAAACTCTGGTGTCGCCTTGAGTAGCAATACCCTAGAAAGGACAGGAAGCTACTGAGTAGGACAAGTGACTGCTAGTCAGGGAAGGATTTGCTGGAGCTGTCACTGCTTGTTTCAAAGTCTATTCACTTTCATGTGCATGAAAGAGGTTCCATCCAGAAGTGAAAATTGTCAAGGAGCTGTGCTCTGTCCTCCTGATTTTTAGTTTGTAAGTTGAGGAAGGCACAGTAAATGTGAAGAAGCAACTTAAAGGAATTATCCTTTGCTTCTGCCTAAGGATCATTGTGTAAATCTCTCATTTGAGTGCTTATTTTCCCCAAAAGATCTAGGTATAGCATTTCCTATAGGAGCAGAATGTGTGGGGGTGGTTGTTTGTTTATTTTTTTCCCCTCTTGGTGTTGAGGTTTTTTTTTACTCTGCTAGAAGTATTCTGAAAAAGAGAAGAGTAAAAGGAAGAGTGTCTACACTTCAGAACTGGGCATTGCATGCTGATCAATAGAATCAAAGTGCATAATTTGTTGCAAGAAGCAAGTTGTTTGAAGCATTAACAAGCAAAGAAGCATGTTTGCAATTCTTTACTTTGTGGGAGAAAAGTCTATACTACCTTGTCTGTGAAACTGGTGTTATGAAGGAGGAAAAGTTTCTGTGTCAGATAAAAATCCTGTTCAACTTAGGTGTGAGAGTTAAATTTGAGGGAGGAAAAGAAGAATCTTTAGGTGTGATCTCTTAGTCTCTTTATTTTTGCTTGCAGTTTGTTCTTGTATTTTGAGTCACTGAGGTACAGATTCCACTCTTGTTTAATCTAAATTACTTTGTAAATGTGTCTAGGAGTTATTTTTTAAAATACCGGAGAAGGGGGTCTGTGGTTAAGAACAAATGGATGTGGCTTGGTTTGGTTTTTAAGAGGTATTGTATGCCAAATAGGTGATTTTCTGGTTCAGGTGTCTTTGTCATGAAAACAGTAAGGATGCCTTACATTGTCGAGATCAGCAAGAGTAGATCCTTATTTAGAAAGCAATACAGTAAATTTTCTGGCCAGAATGCTAAATCTCGTTCTGTAGAAGTCCGCTTATGCGGACCTTCTCTGAAGGATTCTGTTTAGCGTGCAGAAGCCATAAGCCAGGTGGCCATGTGTTTTTCCTCTATGCATGTGTGTCTCCTTAGTTTCTCAAAACAAAGCCATAGATTTGTTCTAGCTTACTGTACCATCAAGCAAATCATTAGCTTCAGTTTATTGAAGTTCAGGTTGTAATTTTGTGTGTAATGCATATATAAAATTGCAGTCTTTAAATATCTGTTGGGAAAACATGGTCAGGTAGTTCAAATAATAATGGAAAAATATAATCCTGAAAGACAGTAGTAGAGAACAAAAGAAGAGTATCTTCTATCTCCAGTGTCTTTGCACGAGACTTTGTACGGAGTTAATGCCTTGTTAAAAGGCTGTTTGCTCCATCTTATCCTTGCTGGCTTCTTTAATAGCATTTTTATGGTAATGCTCCCTTTACATAGGCATTACGAGCTGGGTTGACAACTGGAAAACAAATGGTTGGAGAACGAGTTCAGGAGGAAGTGTAATAAATAAAGAAGATTTTGAAAGACTTGATAATCTATCAAAAGGCATAGAAATTCAGTGGGTAAGCACCTCATTTCTTAATGACATCTTAAACATGCTTCTTGTAAGTTGTAAAACTTACAAGTATTACCATAACTAAGAATTTTACAGAGCATAATACCGTACGTAACATAAGTAAAACCATAAATGCAGAGAAGCTGCTTGTTTTGTTTAAAGCAAATAAGCAACATAGCTTAGGCTCTTTGAACCAGTATTTAATTTATTAAAATGCATGTTTATGTTTGTTTTCTGTTTCTTGTTGCTACTTAGAAAATGCTTGGAATAATTGTTTGTAGTTTGTTAGTATTGTTAGTAGATGAAATTTCTGTTCCTGGAAATCGAAGCTTAAAACATAACTTTTTTTGAGTCATAGTTGATTTTCTCTATTTGCTTTTGAGAACTCTTAAGGTGCTGGTTTGGTGTAACTCAGTCACATGAGTGTCTTCAAACTGGGAAAACTAAGAGTATAACCCCAAATAAACTAATTCTTGTTCTCTGTACCTTAACTGCATTTTTTTCCCAAGAAAACTGGGTGCAGAAAAGCCTTTAAAATACCCATTTTTAAATTTTTAATTGGTTTGCTCTCCAGTGTAGTAGTAAACCAACTTCTGTACAGGTATTCTGAGCAAAATGTGTTCTTCTGTAACCTCTAGCATCAATGCTAAACATTGTAGGGGATATCTTCCTTCCCCTTCTTATAAATTTTACTCTTACTGTGGTATAAGACTATGGATTCTAGAAATAAATCCCTGTACCACTGACTCCGTGGCTGCTAATGGCATATTTATTGTGCTTCTGTCTTCACTGTGTAGAAAGCAGGATGACGTAGATCTTTAATGTGCACTTTTTCTATGGGAAATCTGTTGCAGATATTCTTCCATTCATGTTGTTCCATGTTCCAGAGCTGGTGACTCCAAATTAAAGGCTGACAAAGGCTGTTCTATAACAACTGCTATTGTCTATTGAGAAGAAAGTGTAAAAATTTAACGCTAAGACCAAAGTTCACCTGTCCTTTAGAATATTCTATATAATTAATAAAAAAAAAAATGCTTTATGCACACTTCTTGCACATGAATCTCTTAAACTTGTGAAGACTTTTATTTCAATTGGAGCAGTGTATGCATATGCTTTATTATGGTAATCTGCCTGCTGAGGTGTGGGGTCCTCCATGGGCTGGGGGTGGAGACTTGTTCCACTGTGGTCCTCCATGGGCTGCAAGGCACAGCCTGTCTCACCATGGTCTTCCCCACGGGCTGCAGGGGAATATCTGCTCTGGCACCTGGAGCACCTCCTCCCCTTCCTTCTTCCCTGACCTTGGTGTCTGCAGAGTTGTTGCTCTCACATATTCTCATTCCTCTCTCCCAGATGCTGTGCAGCATTTTTAACCTTTCCTAAATATGTTATCACAGAGGAGCCACCAGCTTTGCTTCTGGGCTCAGCTGTGTCCTGCAGTTGGGTCCATCTTGGAGCCAGCTGGAATTGACTCTCCCATGCAGGGACTGCCCCTGCAGCCTTCTCACAGAGGCCCCCACCTGGTACCAGAACCTTGCCATGTATAACCTAACCATCTTGCATGTGCTTCATACTTGTCCCCTCTCAGATTTTATCAAATATCCAGCTTGATTTTCTTCCACTTCTCCCATGCTCCTCTACCCTTATTTCTGACAAGGATGGGCTTAGGGTTGAAAGTGTTTTCAGTTCCTAATTGAAAGATGGACAGTTAAGGCAGCAGAATATTTTCATACCCTGTTTCTATATCCCAAGTAAATGCTGTAACCACCAAGGCAGTTGGTGGCACAGAGGTCTCTGGCTTTCTGGGAACAGATTAACTAAGTACTGAATGCAGATAGGTTTTTCTCTCTTCTCTGAAAATGGGAATTTTGAGTTGGAGCTGTTGTCTGAATTTCTTAAAGCCTATTTCGGTAGTCCTTGTCCAGCTCGCTACTTCCCATAAAGATGTTCGCAGTTTGGCAAGGTTTTCTTAGAGGAAGGGAGACTATGAACATCCCTGGGCAGAACACAGAAGAACTAAATATGGGGAGAGGTCCTCTAAGGAGGTGGTACTGTACTGTGAATCGAAGGAGTGTTGTGTGATCAGATTTCGTGTATGTACTTTTTCTTGATTACTTGCATACCTAATGCTCCTGTACTTTTCTCCTAACAGATGCATGTTCCTGGTCATGCTGGCTTCCAAGGAAATGAAGAAGCTGATAGACTAGCAAGAGAAGGAGCTAGTAAACAAAAGTGCTGATGTACTGGGACTAGAGACTACTGCAGTGGGAGGAAAATGACTAACATCACAGTGGCAACTTGAACTGCTGTAATTGTTTCAGAGTTGAGATTTGAACTGTACTTATTTCAAGCCTGAAGTGTTAAATATATACCAACTTCTGGAGAGAAAGAACACACACTTTCTTCTATAGCATTTGTTTTAAAATCAAATCAATATTTAGTTGATGATGAGTATTTGCTTTTCTCCATCTTACTGAAGGGCTGTGGTCAGTTTTTAGCTGTCTTGTAGACAGACTTCCGAATTCATCGTGAAGACAGACTTCTGAAGAAGTAATACAAAGTCTTTATCTTATGTTCTGTATTTTCTTCTTCATTAAATAAATCAATTTTTTTGTACAGAGATGTATATTAACAGCCCAAAATAGTTGGAGGCCAGGGGAGTTTGGGGTTGGCTGGTTTGGTAAGAGGTCAGTGACCTCACATGGAGATGTCCATTTAATATGCTTTGGCATATTAAGCTAGAAGTCACTGATTTTTTTTTTTTTTTTTTCTTAATTCCTATACAGAATGGTAGTGCTCTGTAGCTTGATTTCTTAATAGTTACAACTCCTTTACTGAGGAAAAGTATGAGTTTGTACATATTGAGTCATGTGGATTGTGATAGAGTGAGAAAACCGGCTAGCTATTAGTTAATAGATAAATGATGTTCTGTTTGTTTTCTGTTATCCAAAACTGCACAGTAAAGCTCATCTGGGGTAAGGTAATGTGCTGATTAGAAACTTTTTTTTTTGTTTCTCCCTCTGCTTCTTTCATATATATGCACACAATTATCCAATTATTTATACACAGTTATTTATTTTAGAAGTTTGGCTTGAAGGAAAACACCCCATCGTCCCAGATCAGATCTCTAGTTGAGGAAGAAGTGTGAGAAACAATGTACTGAAGAGGTGGCATCTAATAATCTATGTATTGTACATCTCAAGTTAAACATGTAGATCCTATTTACTGTAGGTATTGAAATCTGTATTTCTTGAAGCAGCAGGTTTGGAAAAGAAGTGTAGGTAGTGGTGGGTAAGCCATAACATCAGTGTAATACTAAATGTAAGCAACTTTACTACCTGAACCTAATAAGTAGATTATAATAAGATACCTTACTAGGAGAGAGGTTTATGTTAATTTGATACCAGTGTTTATCATTCTTACTCTGGATGCTTGTGATGAAAGAAAGCTGAGAGGAAAGTTACACAATTAAGGCTGATTAAAGGATGGAAAGCAAATAATACTTTTTAACAGGGTCTCAGGGACCCACAGAGGATGTTGGCTGTTCAAGTCATTCTCTTCAGGGAACTGAAACTAGGAGGGTATTGGCATGTAGCAGTCATGAGTTTCAGTGGCTAGGCATTGAACTTGTGGCTGGATTTTGATGTGCTTCTAAAACTGTGGAAAATAGCAGCATTAGACCATCTTACTTGTACGGTTATGGGACTTGCAATTAAACTTTATCCAGAGTAAATAACCAGTAGTGCTTATACACTTGATACTGTACATTAATGGGATCTGGTAACATTTTTAAGAATCTGAGAAATAGTTTTGAAGACATTTTGGTAAGTATAAAACTCTCCTTTTAGGAAGAAAAACGTTTAAGGAGGGATTGTTTCTTTTTTCAGTTGTTTTCCCCTCCTTACATTGTGTTTATCTGGCTGTTCATTTGTTTACCATACAGAATTGCAGAACAGTTGGAGGCTGGAGGGGGCTGCTGGAGTGCATCTTGTCCACCCCAACTCAGCCTGGAGCAGGTCGCTCAGGCTGTGACTGTGTCCATGGATGGAGGCAACGCAAGCTTTCTGGGTGGTATGTCTTACCGCTCGTCCTTTCCTTTTTTTCTGATTTATTTTTTATTTTTCTGTAGGGTGGGGTTGCAGCGCAGTTTTTTGATGCTGAGACAGCGGTGAATTCAGCTGGAGCACCTGTTCTGGGTTTGAGTGAGTGGTGTGGGTTTTGGTAGCAGGGGAGGGGGCTAAAGGGGTGGCCCCCTGTGAGAAGCTTCTCAAAGCTCCCTCAGCTCCAAGTCAGCTCCACCTCAGCATCAAAACTGAGCCAATTGGCTGTGCCTCTGCAATAACGTATTTAGTGGAACTGGTGAGGAGGAGTCAGACTTAATGAGGAGGAGTTGTGGCAGCTGGGTGAACACCCAGGTCAGTGGAAGAATGGAGGAAGAAAGGAGGGGGGAGGTGTGCCGGAGCAGAGACCCCCCTGTATCCTGTGGTGAGACGGCAGGGCGGCCCCCCTTAATACCCATGAAGACCTATGGTGGAGCAGACACTGATTTATGGCCTGTGTTTTTCGGCTGGATGATCAAGGTGTCTGTGCCCGAAGAAGGCCGGGGTCTTGTGGGAGAAGGTAGCCCCGCTGTTGTAGTTCAGCACTGGGAGGATTGCAGCATGTGGGGGTGTCCCACGCCGGAGCAGCTCGGGAAGGGCTGCAGCCGTGGGAGGGAATCCAGTTGGAGAAAGTTGGTGACCCACGATGGAGCAGTGTAAGGAAACACCGCTGCCTATGGGAGGGACTCACATCTGAGAGGATTTGTGGAGGACTATCTCTTGTGAGAGGGGGACTGCAATGGAGCAGGAGGAACAAGTTCCAGAAGCTCCCCCCACTGAACATGGAAGAAGGGGCAGCACTGACTGCACCCCCCATTCCCTGCCCCTGCGCCACTGGGGGAGGAGGTAGAGATATCGGGAGCAGAGCTGAGCCTGGCAAGAAGGGAGGGGTGGGAGGAAGGTGTTCTCAAGATGTGGCAATGCTTCTCACTGTCCTACTCTGCTAAAGTGTTGTTAGTGTCTGTAATAAATGTATACTCTTTTCTTCCATCCCCTAAAGAGTCTGCCTTTTGCTTAGGACTGGGAAAATCACCCTTTACAGTCACATCTACAACCCCAAGCCTGGGTTATCTGTCTCTTCTCATTGCCAGAAAAGAAGGGGAGAGAGTGGCTGCGTGGCGTTTGGCTGCTGACTAAGCTCAAACCGTGACAGCACCGCTGCGCGGGCAGGCCCGCTGTGACGGCTCTGGCTGTGGAAGCTGGGCACGGTTACCCCGGGGCCGGGCCGCAGGCCCCGGCCGATCCCGGTCAGGCTTCTCCCTCTTCTCGCCGCTGCCCTGAAGCCCGAAGCCACACGCTCGGGTGAACGCCGCCTCTGCTACACCGTGCACCCTCTTCAGCGCGTTTTAAGCTGCAAATCGTGCCCCTTTAAGTCCCGCCCCGGGGGCCGGCAGCGCGGGGCCGCTCCTGCTCCCTGCCCCGGCCCTCCCAGCCCGCCGGGGCGGGCCGCTGCCGCTCCCGGACCCGGCCCAGGCGGCGCGATGGTGGAGGCCTGGTTCATGGACGAGTCCCCGGAGGACCAGCGGGCGCCGCACCGCCTGCGGCCCAACCGCGCCGTCAGCCTGGAGCAGCTGCGCCGCCTCGGCGTCGTCTACCGCCAAGTACGGCGTGTGCGCTGGGGAGGCCGCCCGCTCGGGGCGGGGTGGGGGCGGTGAGGGCCTGGCGGGGCCGCGACCCGCCGCGCTGCTCGGCCGCGGAGCGCGGGAGCCGGTCCCGGGCCGTGCCCGCGCCCCTGTCCGGGGAAGGGGCGGGGGGGGCGGCCCCAGGCCGCGTCTGTGCGGGGCTGGGCTGGGCGCAGGTGGAGCTGCCGAAGCCGGCGCCCCTTGTGTTGGGCGCCTGGGGCGGTGGCCCCGCAGCGGCCTGCCCCTCCGCTGGCACCCCGGGCTCTTACACCTCGGTGTCCTGAACGGCGTCCTAATCAATCGTGTCCGAATGCTTCCCCCCTCCCCCCCCCCCCCCCCCCCCCCCGCCTGTTTTTCAGTTGGATGCTGATAACTATGAGACTGATCCGTGTCTGAAAGAGATTCGGAGAGCAGAAAATTATTCATGGATGGATATAATAACCATACATAAAGACAAGCTTCCAAATTACGAGGAAAAGGTATGCGAGACTTTGCTTTCAAGGAGGTTTTGCGCACTGAAGCTTGCTGCTAGGCAGTGCAGCTAGCTTCTTAACACCTGCACACCTTGGGCAGGGGTGCAGAGATGAGATTTCCAAGTGTAAAATACATCCTATACCAAAGTCCTTTGATATTATTTTGAAAATAGAAGAGGCCTTTTGCTTCTGTAGATTGCCTTCAGAGGTTTTAAGGATAATTTCCATCGCTGTCATTTTGAAACTTAAGATTCCTACCAACAGGGCCCTGCCAATGCTGACCTGTCCTCAGAGAGGCTCTGGTGATGAAGGCTGGTTGTTGCCAGGTGGGCGTGGACTTTGAAGGGTGAAACATTCTAATGGATGATTGCAAAATATGTCTTTTCAAAGTCCATGTTAACCTCATGGAATCAGAGGGATACGTTCCTTGTACAAGAAGATTTTTTTTTTACTTTGGGAAGTTGGTACCTTGGCTATTTCATAACAGCTGAATGCAAATGGTGCCAGGCTCTCAGGTGAGCCTCCTAGAATGAGCTTTCACCTCCTGGCCTCTGAGTGCTGGCGTGCTGCTCTGACCTGAGGATAGCACCCCATGAGCACTTCCATATTTTCATTAAATTTCCGTTTACCAATTGTGGTGGGTTAATTGTGGCTGGATGCCAGGTGCCCACCAAAGCCACTCTATAAATCCTCAGCTGAACAAGGGAGAGGAAATATAATGAAAGGCTCATAGGTTGAGATAAGAACAGGGCGATCACTCACTAATTACAGTCACAGACAAAACGGACTCAATTTGGGGAAATTAGTTTAATTTACTACCAATGAAATCAGAGTAGGATAATAAACTAAATCTTAAAACACCTTCCCCCACTCCTACTTTCTTCCTAGGTTCAACTTCACTCCCGAATTCTCTACCTCCTCCCCCTGAGCAGCACAGGGGTATGGGGGATATGGTCAGTTCATCACCCATTGTCTCTGCCGCTCCTTCCTCCGCACGGGAGGACTCCTCACACTCTTCCCCTGCTCTATTGTGGGGTCCCTCCTACGCGAGACAGTTCTCCACAAACTTTTCCAATGTGAGTCCTTCCCGTGGGCTGCAGTTCCTTACAAACTGCCCCAGGGTGGGTCCCTTCCACAGGGTGCAGTCCTTCAGGAACAGACTGCTTCAGCGTGGGTCCCCCATGGGGTCACAATTCCTGCCAGCAAACCTGCTCCAGCATGGGCTCCTCTCTCCACAGGTCCTGCCAGGAGCCTGCTGCAAGTGTGGGTCCCCCACAGGGTCACAGCCTCCTTCGGGCATCCACCTGGCCTGGCATGGGGTCCTCCGTGGGCTGCAGGGCACAGCCTGCCTCACCATGGTCTTCCCCACAGGCTACAGGGGAAACTCTGCTCTGGTGCCTGGAGCACTTCCTCCCCTTCCTTATTCCCTGACCTTGGTGTCTGCAGAGTTGTTTCTACCACATATTCTCACTCCTCTCTCTGGCTGCAGTTGTGTAGTTTTTTTCCCCTTCTTAACTATGTTATTCCAGGGGTGCTACCACTGTCACTGGTGGGCTCAGCCTTGGCCAGCTCTGGGTCCATCTTGGAGCCGGCTGGCATTGGCTCTGCCAGACATGGGGGAAGCTTCTAGCAGCTTCTCACAGAAGCCACCGTTGTAGCCTCCACACTACAAAAACCTGGGCACACAAAACCCAGTACAGCAGTTTGTTCTAAGCCCATTGTGTTATGCTGGTTTTAAATTGATGAGAAGGTGAATTAGGTTGTCACTCAGGTTGCCTGGGTGGGCTCTACCTGACAAGGACAGGCTGCTATTGACAGGGCATGAGGACTTTTGCTCATTTTGCTGTGCTGGATCAGTACTGGCTCGGGGACACCTGCATGAGTGTGGCTAAGCAGCATCCAGACCTGAGCAGGTGGTGGTACCTTGCATTGCATGTCTCTCTGTGCACTAACCTGCTCAGATCTCTGTTAATTCAACCTTTAAGGCACATTTTGTTCTGTGCTGTGCAACGTATAAAGAATTTACTATTCCTCAAAAAAAGAGAGTGTTGCTGCTGCTACCCAGGAGGAGAGAGCCTGGAGCTGGGGCTCACTATGTGGGAGCAGGCGTGACTGTGCTGTTCACATCAGATTTCTGTGCATGGGCCATGTTTGGCAATAACCGCGTCTTCACATACAGTTGTAGTAGCCTGTGGGGCTAATTCAGCCCTACACCAGTGTAAAAGAGGGGCATAATCTGTAGCTCAGTTTAATTTTTGCATGTCAGGAAAAAAAAATGCACAGAATGGTAAAACCAAACAACTGTGAGGACCAGATCCTTCAGTGGGAAGCTTTACCTGCCTCTCTCTCAAATGGGTGTAAGCGTTACTGTTATTCAGAGACTGGTTATGTGCAGCTATAGCTGCTGTTTCTTGTCAGAGAAATTCCTGTTTTCCAAAGGAAGTGTAGCAGCCTGCTTAGAAGTGTCCTGAGGCAGCGTCTGGCTGCCTGGACTGGCCATTTTATCCACGTTGGTCTCATCTGTTAGTTAAATCACTGTGT